ATTGGATGAGGCTTGTAGCAACCTGGTCTAATGGGAGATATCCCTTTCCATGGCAGAGGGGTTGGAGCTAGATGATCTTTAAGGTCCCTTCCCAACCAAGTCATTCCGTGGTTCTATGAACACACAGATACTAATTTCAAGTCAGTGACAGTAATCCTCATTGTTTGCATAAAATTTTGCAGGCAGAAGGACTTAGAGGTATTCTGTAACTAAATTAGTCATTGCTAGTCACTTAGCTCTCTTGCTAGTCCATCCTTCATGGAAACCAACTAGGGCTAGTGCTGTGGAAGAACAAACTGCTCTCCAGAGAGGTGATTCCACTGTTTGGGTTTTTTCAGTGCAATGCCTCTTCTATACTGCACTGCTTCTATTTCATAGCCCCAGGTTCCCTCTAAACCCACCTCTATCTAGCTCCAGTAGCTGGGGCTCAGTGCCACAGGTTTGTGAGAGCACTGTGATTGAACCTGTGCCCTCTCAGCAAGGCACTTGGCATGACTCACCAAATTTGCACCTACCTGGGTTACGTGTGCACAGCCCCACATGGAGCTTCTCATTGAACTTCAGACGTCTTCATCTGTGACAGTCACTCTTGGCTGTTTCATAGTTTGGAAAAGAACAAGGACTTACTTTATCTATCCCATTTGGGACTCTGATTTTAAGGTGCGTTGGAAGTTTTGGAGGTGCCCACTGAAGGCCAAGGGAGCTTATATATCAGTGCCTGTATTGCAGATGTGTAAAGTTTCAGGGCAGACGTTCAGCCACCAAACCTGCCCGTAGCCACTGGCAATGGATAGATCTGCCAGCATGTTTACATTTGTCACCATACAGATTTTTTAAGGATTGTATGTGGCAAGCACTTGTCACATCTACATCAGCTAGTAAGGCCTTGGAAGTTGCCATGCTGGTGTCAACCCAACTGCAACTAGGCAGGAACACCTAAGGAGTGAGGGAAGATCCTTGATTGAGGAGGCATAATCAGGGACATCTCAGGGTGACATTACAGGTTGATCCATTATGAAACATGTCCTGGCAAAGACTTTGAGGGAGGAATGTAGCATAAGTGAGAAAATGGCCCTGTCAGGAGAGTCGGGATACAGATGGTCCAGGCTCTCCTTGGGGATACAGGAGACTTGGGGTCAAGCCTGAATATTTGAACTTGGTCTCCCATATTCCCAAGCTTTTCCTTGATTAGTTGATTTTAACAGATAGTTGGCTGTTTCTGCCCCCAGAGGCATAAACCGAGTCAGCCTTTGCTGTCATGGGCAGCTGGCGAGGCAACTTAACTGATAGCAGAAGAAATGCCAGACACACGAGTCTAAAGGGACTATGTATTATATTTTTTTGGTTTTCTTTCCTGGCACACCATGAATAACTTGAGCAGGTGGATACCTGCCCATTTGTTCCTAAAAGCTCTTTGTATAATGATTAGGCTGTCGTCAATGACCAGTAGCTGACGACATTACTGCTTTCCTGCTAATAATTTCTTGTTCTGAAAAACCTCACACTTCAACAATTTATTGCCAATGCTGTGATATATACATAAGTATGTGCATATATATGCGTGATGTACACAGACATTTGCATGTACACAGAGGCTTCCTACTTCTCTTGCTTATTTCCAAAGGCAGGATGTTCCAGGGTTGGGCATTTCACATGGACTCCATAAATTTCTGCTTTGACATGTACATTGTGCTATTTCATAACCTTCATCTAGATTCCAGATTACAACATTAACCTTCTGTTGGCCAGAGCCTGGTACTGTTAAACTCTACATTCCTAACAGGCCTACTCTGATGTTCAGGCTTTTGGCTGTGTAGGACTTATTTCCTGTGTTTTTTATGAAAACCTGCAAACTCTTGGTACTCTTAATGTGCTTTTTTTGCACTGCAGGATTTCCCAGAATGGTAAACATTTTCTGCCCAGCTTTTTTTTTGAGAAAAAGGATTTTTATTGTTACTGATTTATTGTTGTTATTATTATTTTGTTCTCATCCTGCTGACTTAATACTCTTTTATGGGGGCAGTTTCACATGCTAGTCTGGATGCACAGATGATGTTAGGCAGCCATGGCTTTGAGAAGTTACACAAGTTTATAGGACCAAAGAGAAGAAGCAGCCATGGTTACTGAATGCCTGGATCTCATCTGAAACCGAGGTTATGGCAGGACTGAGGAGTCATTGAACAGATGCTGGGCTGAAATTAAGAGGTGGAGGACTTTTTTTAACTGGAGATCTCATAAAAGTCTACTGGGAAGAAAGACTAGCCTCAGAGGAATATCGTACCATGGCTTGACAAGAAAATTCACAATGAGAGACACCGTGAGGCACAGAGAGTGACTGATTCATGTGAAAGCATATGGTAAAGGGAGGATATCAGAGAGAACAGATTGAGATGGCTGCTTGGAGAA